AAAAAAAAAAAAAAAAAAAAAAAATTAAAAAGGAATTATTTTATTTTAAAATTAATTTAGGCTTATGTTGCTTTCCAGCTTTATGCTGGTTGCATGGTGAACAGTGATCATTGCAGGCCAGTATTACAGATCAGTCTGGGATTTAATTAATTTGATGTTAGATTTGTTGAGTTTGAGTTATCTGTGGTATATCTAGGTAGAACTAAGAAATGGGAAATAATTATTCTGGAGCATAGAAAGAAGTAGAGGGCAGAAGATCCAGATTTAGGTGTACTGAATACTTAAAAAATACTTTATATGGGAAAAGAAGGAAAGAGAAAGATAAGTTGTAGTTTGTTGGAGTTCTTCATTGGAGCCTTTGTGTGAATTCTAATATCATTTAAATCCTCTAAAACTAATTATCTTTATTATCAGTCATCACTAATGAGATTCTTCTAATATGGGAGTACACATACTGATTCCCCCTGAAAGATTGGTCATTTTTTATAATTGCATTTTGAATGTATGTTTCTAAGAAGGTTTGAATTGATATTTTATTTTATGTTGTTTTATTTTATTTTTTAAAATTTATTTATTTATTTTGAGAGAGAGAGAATGAGAGAGAGAGAAAGAGAGAGAGAGAGAGGAAGAGAGAATCCTAAGCAGGCAGCATGCTGCTAGAGTACAGCCTGAATCAGGGCTCGAAACCATGAATCTCGAGATCGTGACCTGAGCCGAAATCAAGAGTCAGATGTTTAACCAACTGAGCCACACAGGTGCCACCACAGTGTTATTTTTTAATGTGAAGTTTCATAGAACAAGAATCTCTTTGTCACTATCTTTTTAATAATGTTTGGGCATTTTAATCTAATTATTATTTAGTGCATGCCTTTAGTCAGTTCAGTATATTTACCTGGTGAAAAATATGTGGCTTCTGCTTTTCATTAAGCTATCTTTTCTATCTACAAATTGAATTCTTTCCATTTTTTACATTCACAGAGGTTGTTTGAATTTGAAGGCAAATTGCCTTCCTTGAAGGCAAGGAAGATTAAAGTATTTGAGCTTAGTATTAAAGTATTAAAGTATTTGAGTGGAGAAGAATTATAAAAAGAATTCTACTAGGGGTGTTTGGGTGGCTCAGTTGGTTAGGCATCAGACTCTTGATTTCGGCTCAGGTCATGATCTCTTGGTTGGTGAGAGCCTGCCCCGTGGGGGGCTCTGCGCTGACAGCAGTGAGCCTGGCATGGGACTCCCAACTCAGGAATTAGAAATCATGACCTGAGCCAAAGTTGGATGCTCAACTGGCTGAGTCACCTAGCTACCGCTAGCATCTAAGAGCTTTAAAAAAGAGAATTACTTTCTTCTGTGATCACCATTTCATTTAAAAAAGACATTTTGAAACAAAAAATGGTATAAAGAATAGTCTTTAAATTGAAAAAAAGTATATAACTTATAAATAAAGAAGAAACACCAACCTGATTCCAAGTCTTTTTCATTTTGCTGCACATCACTGGAAAGTTGAGAGTTTGGCACTGAAATGTAGACTTGTATTTGGAAACTACTAACCTAGGTCACAGAGCTAGTGTATAACTGAGATGAGGTCCGTGTTCCTTGGCTTCTAGGTCTCAGCCTCTTTTGTTCCAAAAGACCTTGAGTAATTGAAATGTGCTCTTTGATTTTTGGCTTTTTGAATACAGTGGGATTATGGTTAGACCTGTGGTTAAAAGTAAGAATAGATTATACTAATTTTCAGATTCTTCTCTGGGCTTTTCCTAATTTGGCCAGTGTGGACAGAACAAATCTCGTCCAAGCTTTCACTGCTGTCTTCTTTCCTTTTACTTAAAAAAAAAAAAATATTTTTTTTAATGTTTATTTATTTTTGAGAGAGAGAGAGAGAGAGCGAGCAAGCGAGTGCTGGGGAGGGGCAGAGAGAGGGAGACACAGAATCTGAAGTAGGCTCCAAGCTCTGAGCTGTCAACTCAGAGCCTGCTGTGGGGCTTGAACCTACGATCTCTGAAATCCTGACCTGAGCCGAAGTTGGATGCTTAACCGACTGAGCCACCCTTTTTACTTTTTTTTTTTTTTAACCTTTTGCTTCTGTATTCCACATAAAGGTTTAAGTAGCTTATAAGAATACATACTATAAAATAGTAAAAACTAACAATTTTTTAGTGTATATGAATGTATACATGTACATATACATATGTATATACATAATGTATGAAAATATGTCAAGACTAGGAGGAAATCAGCATGTAGTGATATATACATTTTTTTTCCTCAGTGCATATTTTCCATCTTCTCATCTTTTGTAAGGTTTATTTCATTTAAGTATAATATTTTCCCTTATTTCAATACATGTTAGGGATTGATTGGTTTTTGCAAGTCAGTTTTAGACCTTCATTCTAGTAGCTAAAAATTACATTTACTTAATTACAGGCATAGTAGTAACCAATTTATATTGAGCCTTTATATAAATTCCACATAGATTTTATTTTATTTTTAATTAACAAGTGAAAAAAAAAGAAACTGAAATTATGGGAAATTAACTTGTTCACATTTACATATAGCTAATAAGTAGTGAAGCTGGAGTTGCACTTTGGCATTGTAGCTAAATCTCAATCTGAACTATTAAGAAAATACTATGGAGGGCTTCAGGTTTTATTAGATTCAGAAACGCTTTCACAGATAAAATAGGATCCATTTTTATATTTTTTTCTGCTATGTGGGGATGTGTGAGAGTACAGTCTCTAGTGAGAAAAGAACAGATACACCCAGTAACAATTACAAATAATTACATTTTTACATAAGTGATATCCAATGGGATCTTTGAGATCTTTTAGATCAGTGTTACAATAGGACATTGTATCATCTGACTGAGATTGATAAATCTTGGCTCACTCACGTAAATACTTACTGATAATTAAAAACTAGGAAAACTAGTGTGAATATAAGTTCATGTTGAGGTGTCTCTTCTCAATTTTCCTTGGGGTTCATAACAGTTTTATTAAACTTATTAATATAGTATTTATATCTATATATATCTTTGTATAATAAGTAAGTGATGTTTTCTAGCATGATAAATTTTTTTATAAGTCTTTTTAATTGGGCTATAATTAACAGTCTAGCATGGTGAAAGTTATTTTAAATTGAAACTTTTTAAATTTTAGTTACAGCTCTTTTAAGGAAGCTTAAGCAGCAATCCAGGGAAAGTGTTGAAGAGAAACGACCTCGATTATTAAAAGCCCTGAAAGAGGTAGGCTATATCTCTTTGCTGATCTTTACCTAAAGAGTAATTGTAAGTGTACTTTAAGGCATTTTTTAAAATGCAGTCTAATGCTTACTGATGATTAAGAGTTAAGAAATGGTTTGTCAAAATCCTGTTTGAATTAAGCAATAATGATAAAACAAAATACTCTGATTATAAGGTATAAATTTAATTTTAGGGAATCACCATTTACTTTGAACTAGGAAGGTAGATAAAGAATTACTGTTTTCAGCAAATTAGATAAGAGATCTAAGAATAAGGGGTAAGCCATAATTAATGGCAATAAAAGATTCCTGAAGAGCTGAAGCCACTACCTGCTAGCGGGAACAGCATCTTCTTTATCTAACAAAACTCTTATTATCTTCATGATGGTAGGAGCTGGGTGTGTTGGCTCAAAAAAGGAAGAGAGCTTTGTTTTCTCTTATTCTCTTACACTGTAGTTTTGATGTCTGAAGTAACTGTGGGAGAAAGATAGACCTATCATGATAACTGTCTCCTCTTAAGTATGCCTTTTTTTTTTTTTTTTTTTTTTTTTTTTTTTTTTTTTTTTTTTTTATCTCAAGCGATAGATTTTTTTGGGGAATATTTGATCACAGTAGTTTCCTTAACAGTTATAGGCTTTGCTTTTTAACTTCTACTTTGTAAAATTCAGACTTTTACTATACATCTCATAAGATGACATATTATTTCAGATTTAGTAAACTTGTGTTACCATTTTATAGAAAAAAGTATTTCAGTGTGTCATTTTCGTAATCCATCATGAGGCTGCACAAATAGTCATTTTGGAAGTTGTATTTTTTAACACATCTAAAGTTATGAGCTATTTTTACAACGATAGTTACTGTTATTTTGGCTATGCTGGGAAAATGGACTGTTTATTGATGCAAATTTAAATGCCTGTCAGTTTCAGATATTCCTGTGTGGTTAAAATGGTCTTGTAAAATCCATAGTTGGTGCATATTTTCCTTTGTAGTTAAGTATTATAATATGTGCTATTGTAATGTTTTAAGTAATTTAATCATATGTTTTTGTTCTTTCTTTTAACTCCAAACTTTTAAACTACTTTCTGTTTCTGTCTATAGACCTTTAATGATGGTAGATTTTTTTTTTTTTTAAGTAAAATATTCAGTAAATATAAGGACTGCTTATTAAGGTGCATTCAGTAATTGTTTGTATTTTGTTTCTCAGCTAGGTGACTTTTATCTGGAACTTCACTGGGATTTTCAAAGCTGGGGTAAGAGTGTACTATGTTTTACTATAAAATATGTGCACTTGCAAAAATGCAAGTGCAAAAGTAGCTATTATATGGAAATGTTAACACAACAAATTTGTTACTTGCCCTAAGGAAAATTAAATATTTCTCATAACATTGAATGTAATAGTTATAAAGCCCTGTAGTAATAGTTATCCGAACTTGATTAGTAACTTTTAACATTCTTATTTTTAAGATTGAAAATTATCTTTTTTTTAACCAAATGAAATGAAATATTACATTAATTAAATATAAGCAATTCTCAAAGAGAAGAGAGTAATAATTATGGGATTATTAGATTACTGAATTTTTTTTTTTAAGTTTTTTTTTTTTCCAACGTTTATTTATTTTTGGGACAGAGAGAGACAGAGCATGAACGGGGGAGGGGCAGAGAGAGAGGGAGACACAGAATCGGAAACAGGCTCCAGGCTCCGAGCCATCAGCCCAGAGCCCGACGCGGGGCTCGAACTCACGGACCGCGAGATCGTGACCTGGCTGAAGTCGGACGCTTAACCGACTGCGCCACCCAGGCGCCCCTAGATTACTGAATTTAAGGAAGTTTGAAATATAGTACTCAGATCCTGAATGAGAAGAATTTGGTTAACATTATTTGATTTTGTATATTTTGTCAACTTTAAATAATTTTTACCATTTTTATTGTGTACTTTATAGCTACTCTCTTAACATATTTTTTGGTTGTGCACTGTTTCAATTTTTCAATTATTTATAAAACCTTAATCCCTAGATATTTTGCAGTCTTTTAATGGTTTATCTTGGCAAGGTAAGTTTCTCTCCTCCCCTTTTTAAACCTGAGTCCATTTAGGGAGAAAACCTTCATGTCTAAATAGGAAGTTTGATCCTAGTGACCTTTACTAATTAAACAACTACTAAAGCAACTAAATTTAGGTTTTTTTTTCTTGAAGATTTAAAACCAATGTAATCTGTATATAGATTTGAATATAATGAGCTTACATGTGTTTTTTTAAGCATCTGCATTAATTTTTGTGATATAAAGATATTTGAATGCTCAGTGATAATTATAAAACTAATCAGATTTGACAACTATAAAAATCACTGTTAATGTTTCACGAGAATGCTTTCGCATCCTTTTCAAAGTTTACACAGCATATGGTTGAATACATATATATGTGTGTATATATCCTCAGAATTAGTTTTTTTTTATGGGATCATGCCATTATATCATTATGCAATTTGTCATTTTTACTTAATGTATCTAATATTAGGCATTAATTCCATATTAGTTCATGACGAAGTACTTCAACCATTGCATAATAATGTATATGGAATGAATGATTAAAGTTTTCCTAGTGTGTTTGTTCTCTAAATGTAAAGTTTTGATTTGTGAAATAATCAGTTCTTTCCAACATTGTTACAACTCTAGCAAATCAGGTTAGTTTGGGCTCTATCAAAACCACACATGATTTTGTTACTTTGTAGGCCTACCTTGCCTTTATGCTTTATATATCATTCAGAAGCCCAGGTGTCTTAGAACACTGAGGGAAAAAGGTTTGTAGTAGCTTTGTATAATAAAAGAACTCCAAGTTAGATTGGTTTAAAGCCTGATTACTGGAAGCCTGGGTGAAGGCGCCTGGGTGCCATGTTGCTGTCCGAAGAGCTTCAGCCGGTAGATCCGCGGTCTCTGAGTCCGTGAGTTCGGCCCAGTCGTGTCTCTGGGCTGATGGCTCAGAGCCTGGAGCCTGTTTCGATTCTGTCTCCCTCTTCTGCCCCTCCCTGTTCATGCTCTGTCTCTCTCTGTCCCAAAATAAATAAAAACGTTGAAAAAAAAAAATTTAAAAAAAAAAAAAAAGTCGCACATTACTGTTTTTACCCAGTTTTTTTTTTTTTTTTTTTGACATCTTTAGAAACCCTAGTCCAGCTTGGTGAGCTTATATTCAAGGTTGTCCCTTGAGTATATTGGCTTTTTAACTGATTCTCTTAGAAACTGTTAGTGGTGTAAATTTAAAATAGTCAATTTATCTTGCTGAGCAAATGTTTTAAAATATTTTAATACTTTTTTTAAGTTTATATATTTATTTTGAGAGAGACAGCGCAAGCAGGGGAGGAGTAAAGGGAGAGAATCCCAAGCAGGCTCTGCGCAGAGCCCGACATGGGGCTCAAACTCATGAAACTGTGAGATCATGCCCTGAGCAGAAATCAAGAATCAGACACTTAACCAACAGAGCCACCCAGGCACCCCTGTTTTAAAATATTTTAAAAGTAACATTTCAGTTATATGAAGCAATGGAAATGGATGTAATCACTGCTGAAATTGTGCAAATATCTGTAGTTATAAATATATTTATAAATGTTGCGTAATCAAATTCATGATGTAACCATTGAGGTATTTGTTAAAAGTACTGCTTCTTTGAGGATTGATAGAAAAAAGTCAGCACATCTGTTTCATTGTTGATAAAAGATTTTACTGCTTTCATGTCAAAACTATTAGCACCTGATGGTTAGATGACATGTATAATTCTAAAAACTAAACTCATTGGCTACATTTAATTTAGACACTTGGGATTAAAAAGCTCTGAATAATCCCTATTGTTAGATTTGATTAGTAAGCTTTTTTCTAGAGTTTAGGCATGATTCTTTCCATTGTCAAAACTCCTAATATCAAGGTGTGTGGCTGGCTTGGTTGGTAGAGCATGTGACTCTTAATCTCAGGGTTGTGAGTTCAAGCCCCACACTGGGCGTGGAGCCTACTTAAAAAAAAAAAAAAATGAAGAAGGGAGAACTTATAAATTCCCTTTTCAAACATAAAATGCTAAATAAACATGAAAGTTTTTTTTTTTAAACTCTAATACTAAAAAAAAAAAAAAAAAAAAAAAAAAAAAAAAAAAAAAAAAAAAAAAGGCAACCCAGAAATAAGAGAAAGTTAAGAAATATTGAGCTCCAGGATTAGGTTTAATTTAGAGGTAGTGGAGCATGCACACCCTTTCTCATACTGTTGTATTTAGTGTTTGGCTGAAAATAGCCTCAGACTTGGTTAACAGCAAATCTGAAGGCAACTAAACTATTCCACCTTAGGTTTTTAGATATAGAAAACCTTTAAATTGGAATCAGAAATCATGGCTCCTATTTGATGTGGCAAATCACATGTCTTTCATGGGCCTCAGTTTCTTTATTTTATTTTAAGTTTATTTATTTATTTTGAGAGAGAGAGATTGAGAGAGAGCATGCGCACGCTCACAAGCTTGAGCGGGGAAGGGGCAGAGAGAGAATCCTAAGCAGGCTCCATGCTATTGGGCAAGGAGCCTGATACAGGGGTTGATCTCACAACTGTGAGATCATGACCTGAGCTGAAACCGAGTCATGCTTCATTGACTGAGCCACTCAGGGACCCCTTCAGTTTCTTCATTTTTATATGGGAATAATAACTGCCCCAGATATTACAAATTTTGTTTATGTGTGGATGAAATGAAATTATTTTTTGAAGGAAGTCCTTTATATACTGTAAAAGCATTAAGTAATTTATAGTATCATAATCATGACTTCAAGTTTAGCATCACGTATATAGCACATTTCAACAGAAAAACTAGTAGTTTTTAAAGTTTCTTTATCTCATAATCTACAAAATATCCATTTTTGAGACTGTTATTTGTATATTATAAATGGAAAACTTTAGGTTTAGAAACTTTTCTTAAGACCAAGGAGTAAATGACAGCAAAACCAAATTAAAATATACAGACTGTTCATTGTTAAGTTCAGTGAATTATGCTACTTTTGGAGTGCTGTGTTAAACTCTCAGATTATGCTGTGATAATTTAAGACACAGAGAACTTGATTGTTCAGTTTACATGAGGGAGGAAAAGTCATCGTAGAATTGGAAAATGCAAATTGCTCTATTGCTCTCCTGCTATTTAATGAAATTGTATTTATAGGAGTAGATAGGATCCAGGTCCATCAGGTTACCTATTCCTGATGGTTTAGTTGCCATAGGGCACTGTTTTCTCATCTATAATAATGTCCTACAATATGTACCTCAAAGTGGCATTGTATTGACTCTGCTACTTGTGTGTGTTGGTGGGTGGATGCGAGGGCAGAATGGTGAACTACACAGCAATTACAATTGAATAGTAGATATTTGAAGTTGCTCAAAATTGCCTTATATGCTATTTTAAATGGAAAAAATGATTTTAAAGGAAAATTGTTACAATTTTAGTGAATTAGTAGAATATTTACATTACTCTTTTTCTAATAGAGAAATTTGTAGTGTCTCAGAACTTCAGGTAGTTATTTTTTATCTTTTCTTTTTAAAAATACAGTGCCTTTACTTTCCCGAATTCTGCCTTCTGATGCATGTAAGATATACAAACAAGGTATCAATATCAGGTAAGGTGATTTGATTTTTTTCTGAGTAACAGAAAATTGAGATGTATAGGAAGTTTTTCTTTCTGTAGTAATAGGTTACATTTGAATGTAGTATTTTATAACTTAAACATGCTGTTATATATTTACACTATTTTATCTTATTTGAGACATCCTACAGATAAGGAACCAAAGACATAAAATCTTGACTAAAACAAAGGTATTAATTCTAATTCAACTACAGACTATCTAGCAGGGAAACAGTGAAGATCATGGTATAATACTGAGAAGATTTAAGATGGTTATCTCTCTGATCCTGACTTTTTTAAAGAATAAGTGACCCATAAGGAAGACACAACTCTTGTCCTTTTTTTTCCAACCCTCTCATACCCTTCCCTCCTGTATCCATCCATTCATCTAATCATCTCTTCCTTCGAGTAAAAACTTGAAGGCTAATTTTAATTTTCTTCTTTTTAAAATTAATATTGACTTTTTGATCTAATGGGAAATTATTTATTTTACTCATTTCAGAATTTACTTTTATCTTTCTTTATGTCTTTGTATTAATACAGGTATGTCTATAAATTATACATATGTAAATATATAAAACTGGCAAGTATGCCAACTTATATATATATATATATACATATTTTAGTATATTTATAAATTATATATATAATTTTGTATATCTATAATTTTGCATATCTCTAGAATATTAATTTTGTATATCTATCTCTATAATTTTGCATATCTCTAGAATATTAATTTTGTATATCTATCTCTATAATTTTGCATATCTCTAGAATATTAATTTGGACATGTAAGGGTCTAGAACTGGAAGTATCTTGAAAGATTATTTCATATAAACTCTTTATTTTATAGATGAGAAAATTCAGAGAGGTGATGTGATTTTTATAGGAGCATATTGCGAATTAATGTCTGGGCCAGGACCTCTGACTTCATGTCTGTTCTTACCATGTCACAAGGCAGAAATTTTAGTCAACTCTGAGATTTATTATGAGATATATTGAATTTTAGTGAAGAGATAATCTTTAGTTGAAAGTAAGTTCTAGGGTATTTGTTCTCAAGAAATAGAATTTGAGTAAGGTAGAAGTTTCAGGTTTTTGTTTTTAAAAAATAACCTCTAATGATGTTTCTAATTATGAAAGTGCTTATGTACATTAAATTCATGGTCATTATTAGAAACCTTGAAAAATGCAGAAAAACATGGAAAAAAAAGTAGGAAAGGATTTGATAATTATGTAGATTTACTTAAGCAACCTGTTAACAATATATATGATTTCATCAAAAATTACTCATCAATTTAGAAATGTTTACTATAGGTGCTTGCCAAAGATAGCAGATAATTTGGGAGAATATTATTATATTCCTTGTGCTACTTTAAAAATTGTTAGTGTTAGTTCTATTTGATTCCTAGAAAAAAAAGGAGGCTTTAAAAAATTATTTCACATTTATATATGACTTTTAAAAGTAAATGATATGATGCATATTACATAATAAATACAGGTAGTAAAGCTGTAAATGGTTAAAATAGAGACATAAGAATAAAAGCCTGAAGGAGAATAATTGTGTCAGAGAATATAGATTAAAAGGAAGTTACTATAATTTAGGGGTGCCTGGGTGGCTCAGTCAGTTAAGCATCCGAATCTTGATTTCACGTTCTCACAGTTGGTAAATTCAATCCCCGCACCAGCCTCTGTGCTGACAGCATGGAATCTGCTTTGGATTATCTCTCCCTCTTTCTCTGCCCCTCCTCCACTAGTACTATCTATCTGTCTGTCTGTCTGTCTGTCTTCCTCTCTCAAAATAAATAAATAAACTTAGAAAAAAAAGAGGAAGCTCCTATAATTTAGCAAGATACTCAGACCTCGGACTTAAAGCAGCTGAGGATAAAGGAGAGATGTGATAGGTTCTAAAGCTGTCATTACTGAAGTTTACCAGGTTAATAGAGAGGCTGGCTTTTAGGACATATTGCAAAAGTTTTTTGCATAGATGAGAAGAATCTAATGAAAAATAATCCATTAACATTAAATAAAAACTTTCTTTTTTTTTTTTTTTCCAACATTTATTTATTTTTTGGACAGAGAGAGACAGAGCATGAACGGGGGAGGGGCGGAGAGAGAGAGGGAGACAGAATCGAAACAGGCTCCAGGCTCTGGAGCCATCAGCCCAGAGCCTGATGTGGCTCCGAACTCACGGACCATGCAGATCGCGACCTCGGCTGAAGTCGATCCCATCATGCCTAATTCAGGCCACTCTCAAATAAAAAAACTTTTTAAAATGTAAACATCATGAGATGATTAGTTTTTATTTATTTATATATAAGGCTTTTTTTTTTTTAATTTTTTTTTCTGTACGCTTTATTTATTTTTGGGACAGAGGGAGAGGCTGTATAATGAATCGAAAAGGTGAGAGAGAGTAGGGAGACATACAATCGGTAAAACAGGCTCTGTGCGTGTGCCTCGGTTACTTCCAGAGCTCGACGCTGCCTCGAATCCACGGACCACAGAGATCGCGGACTTTGAAGGAAGTCGACGCTTAAATCAATACCCAGGCTGTTTCCATATATTTTTAATGTTTATTTTTGAGCCGGTATATAGAAGTACCCAGCAGGGTAGGCAGAGAGGAGAAGGTATACGCCACAGAATCTGAAGCAGGCTCCAGTCTCTGAGCTGGAAGCACAGAGCCTGATGCAGGGCTTGAACCCATGAACTCTGAGATTATGACCTGCGCTGAAGTCAGATGCTTAAACCATCTGAGCCACCGAGGCACGCCCGATTAGTTTTTTTTAAACATCACTTCAAATGAAACTGAATTTTAAAGTATGTTCACAGAAATCTTTAAAGTTTACTTTTATTTCATGACAGCCATGTGATCATTTAAAATACCTTTTCTGATACCAAGGAGAAATTAATACTTTAGTGGAAGTAGGAAAGTATGAGCAACTTTATTGTTGAGAATATTAACATTTTCACTATTAATAATTATGAGGTAATCTTATGAGCGCTGACTGAAATGATCAGAGCAAAGTTTGCAAACTTTGCCTCATTTCAGGCTTTTCTTGTCTCAAGGCAAACCTCTATTATGTCCTTTTGCAGTGTTATTTGGCATTCTCCAAGCTTTTATCTTAAAAACATTTTCTATTGATTTTTTTGAACATTTTTAGTTCCAATCTTTACATTTGTATAATTATATATTTTTAATGGTTAATTACATGGTAAAAATAGAATATATTTAGACTCATAGGCTTAAAGCAAGGACTAGTTAATAATTTAAAATACCATCATGACAAGTTATGTCATTATAAGGCATGTGTTAAAGCTTAGTAGATCATCTAATATGTCAGGGATATTGTAGAAGATGCATTAGACAGTCTTCTTTCAGTTGCAAATTATAAAAACAAATGAAATAAAAATTGACTATGACTCATTTTAGGTCTAGCTAGATCTAAGGTTTCAAATGTCACCATGTCAGTCTGTCTTTGTCTTTCTGTCTCTGTCTCTGTGTATCTTTCCTTTCACTATACTTACATCCACTACCAACCCACTACCACTCTCATCCAGGATGGGCAAGACGGAAATGGATGCAGAAGATTGTTCTGTTTCATTTCGTCTTTTATGTGAGGTATAGAGTTTTCTGGTAGCTGCAGCTTGAAGTCCACATAGATCACTGATATAAAATTATCTGTTCCTTTTTGATATTCAGTAGCCCACATCTTACAGAGGTAAGGGATGAGCCTCTTTTACTGGCATTATTTTCTTACGCCACATGTACAAGTAGTAACAGGATGTGTTCAGTAGTACAGGCTGGCCCCTGGAGGTGAACCAGGAGCTAGAATTCAGCTATAAAGCAGCAGGCAGGATTCACTCCTACAGGAGTTGGTGACTTGCTTTTTTTAGGGCTTCTTGATTTCATTCTGAGGGGTGTATATATTTTATATGGCTCAGAAAGGAGGCCCTTATACATAAGGTAACCATACTTCCTTGTTTGCTGTTGATTCATCGCTATTGTCCTGACAAAATTATTAATGGTATCACATTGATAAATTATATATGACCCCAGTTACTCTTTTTGATGCAGCATATAAGATATGTTCCAGTTCTCAGATTTTTTTCTGTGTAGGGAAACCAAGAATGCTCATTCACTTTGCCTAGTCTAGCATGAGAATTGAATAACTTACAAGGTAATGAATTCTTAGAAACTCAGCAGCCGGGGTGTGATCAGCATCTCTTAACTGCTTTGTCAACCCATTTTTTTGATTAAGGACTATATTTTGAGCAACCAGTAAGAGAGATCCTAATGGGATCTCCTACAAAGCTTGGTACAAGATTGAAACATTTTAGGGTACTTGTGAAGTTTTCCATTCTAGTATTCTCCCTAATTTCAGCAAACAGTGGTTTGTGGAATTTATTTGAGACCAATCCATTGAGCTAGACCATGCCAGGTCTTGGTTATTAAAGACTACGATAAACATACAAGTATGTTAAGTCCGTGAATCTTTGATACAGTAATGATCCATAAATTTTTAGGCTGTGGAGATGTTGGGAAAGAATGCTAATCTGAATCAGAGAGTCAAACAGGACAAGAATTTGGAGTAAGTTAAATGATTTATCTAGTTGAAGGATGAAGCAAGGTTTGGTATCAGATGGCTCAGCATAAGGCATAGATGTAGTAGATCAAAAGAGCAAGATTGGAAACACAGTCCTTAATCTAAGAATGTGGTCCATCCATTTCTGTACCCTTTCTATATACTCTGCTGAGCTAGCAGCATGGTCTTATTGGGATCAAAGAATGTTAGACAAGTTTACTTTCCTTTTATGCCCTTCACAGTTGAAGTAACTTTTATGGAGTAGCTGCAGTAAGGGAAATGGTAAGGAACAAGGGTATAGTTAGGGAAATACTTGAACAATATGGAAACAATATTTTTTTTTTCTGGATTAATGAAGGATTTATTCAGAAAATGAACTATAGGAAAAATGGAATATTATTTAAATATTCTTTCAGTGTTTTTAAATAAAATACTTTAGCCTTAACAGTAAGTTTGACTTTGAAGTATGGTATTAGTACCTTGGTAGAAGCAATGAAGCTTGTTTAATTATTATGGAGTTTTATCAAAATTTTATTTGTCAGGATTTCTCATCTACCCGTCTTTCACAGGCTTGACACTACTCTCATAGACTTTACTGACATGAAGTGCCAACGAGGGGATTTAAGCTTCATTTTCAATGGGGATGCGGCACCCTCTGAATCTTTTGTAGTATTAGACAATGAACAAAAAGTTTATCAGCGAATACACCATGAGGTGAGCATGTTGTCTTATCAGTGTTCCTCTAAATGCTTTTGTAAAAATGTATGTATGCAACCAAGCCTCAGTGTAATTGTTTTAAAAGGCATAAAGTATAGGTGAGATGGTTCATCCCCAAAGCTTTCATGTCTTTACTACTAGCTTTAAATTTTTTTTTTTTTTTTTTTAATTTTCTCGTCTTCATCCTGAGCATTCCAATGAGATTGTTTCTTCATAATTCACTGATGATCTCCTGGTTAAAGGATCTCCAACTTCTCTTAGTTCTCATTTGTAGCTCTCATTTGTTGAACTTGTGCTGGCCCTTTTACCATTTATTATCTTGCTACCTTAGCTTCTTTTAATTTTGCTGACAATCTCTGTTTCCTTAATAGCAACACCTCTTTTGGCTGTCTGTCACTCTTTTTGTACTCTTTTACTATCCCTAACTCTTTGGCTACTTTTCTCTATCTTTTCCACCTTAGAATACAAAATTTTCTTCCTTCTGTCACATCATATTTCCCTGTTGGTATTGTTTCCACAACCACTGTTGAAAAACATATATACATTATTTTTATCCTTTGTTCCCTGGATGGCCATTTCCCTACTATAAACCAAGAAAAAGCTTTTCCTGTATCTTTGTATCATTGATAGCCTTAAAAATGTTTTTAAGTCAACGTCTTATTTTGCCACTGTTGCTTTTCTTTTGTTTTTATGTTTCAACACTTCATTTCCCCATGTTGTCATTCATCATATCCTGTGGCTCCTTTCTTAATATCTCTTAGATTAGACCTTCCTACTACCATATGTATTCATGAGACCTTAATTATCTTATATGCATTTATATTAAATATTATTATTCAATACTGACATAGTTTCCTAACTGGCAGTGAGCAATGAAAATTTAGATTGGTAGAGGGAAGAAAAAGGAGGTATTCCTTATGGAAGAAAAGGGATGAATAAATTCAGGGAAATGGGAATGAGAATGGTCTGTTTGAGGAAAGAGATCTGACTGCGGTGAAGATCTCTTATTGAGCATGGGAATGTGGTTTATGAAACGCTTTAAAAGCCACATACTAGGATCTGCTGTAGTTGGCAACAGAGAGTCATATTCTTTTTTTTTTTAAGATTAAAAAAAATTATTTATTATTTATTTTGAGAGACAGAGAGAGTGTGGGAGGGTCATAAAGATAAGGAGATAGAATTTCAAGCAGGCTCTGCACTGCCAGCATGGAGCCTGTTGCGGGGCTCGAAATCACTAACTGTGAGGTCATGACCTGAGCAGAAACCAGGAGTCAGATGCTTGACCAACTGAGCCATCCGGGCAACCCCAGAGAGTCATATATATGTTTTTTAACATTTATTTATTTTTGAGAGACAG